AAAGGGACTTCAAGAAAAGCAGCTGATATCTCCTGGTTTCTGAGAGCTTCAGCAAGATCTTCAGGTGTGGAGTAGTTCTTTATGTTTTCAGGTCGGAAGTGTAAAACTTCTTCCAAATATCTTTTGACAAAGGATCCTTTACCATATCCGACTAAAGCGTTTGCCCTTTGGAGCGTTTCGATATTCGATATAGTCGGTTCGAGTCTTTGAATAGTGAGCATGCTTGTAAGATTTGCGGTATATATTTGAGTTATCACGAGCGCCATAAACAACCAAACCACCATGGTCATCCGTGACAGGTTACTATGAAGCATGTTACCTTTGGTAAACAAAAACAAGCCAATATGATGTGTTAGATTATATGTTTTCCCCCACAAATGCAGAACAAACACTTGTTAGCTGTGTACCATGTAGTGAGAAGAGAGTCGTGAAGGATGAGCAAAGCATGGTGCCAGCGTGATTAAACATCGAACCGTCATGACATGGATAGCGACTTCGTTCTATGAACCAGACTACAAAGCCATTGTAGGCATTTATCATAGCAATTGCAATCCACATGGTTAATGTAAAGGGCTTTGTGAACAACAATGATTTGTTGCTTTTGTCTTTTCTGGTAGGAACTATCATCACCAGTCCTGCTTCAGAGTAAGGATGTGTAAAGTCGGCGTGTTCGTAGCGTCGTGATATTATGGCGATATCACCGACAGCTGCATCGAAGTTCTTCATAGACAAGCAGAATAAGGAGAGATTGTTAGTAGGAGAAACCAGCTAACAATCTGTACATACTGTTTGAACATCGAAGTTCTTCATATGCATGCAAAGAAAGGCAAGATGTTCTTGTAGTTTTTCCTTACCTTTAAGTAGATTTCATTCACCAAATCATCATATGAGCCATTGAAACGATAGAACTCGTACGACGGAGGGACGTGCAGGCTGTGTATGGTTTCTTTAAACAGATCAATTGCAAGTCCAGTGAAGGTTAAATTGTTTCCCTTAGGATCTTCTTCCACTTGTACATACTGTTTGAACATGGAACCAGTTGGCACCCCAATTCTCAATGGATTGGCATCTGTTGGTACAACCCATCCCTTTGGAGTTTCCGAAGAACCACCCGGCCAAAACACTTGGCTAAGATCCTTCATCGACGAGTTAGACGACGAATTTTCCCTCAACTCTCGTGAGAACCCTGATTTATCAGACCAGAAGCCGAGTTCCCTATAACCCCTTCCCATGATATTGATAATCTGAAATGTATCAGCTGGGGCTAACTTTCTGTCCTTGAACTGAATCATTCCACTGAGTCCTTGAAAGGCAGTGAGCTTTATTTGTTCCAACAAGGCATTACCCTTTTCTTGGATTTCACTCATTGCCATAGCTGCTGTCGTTGCAGCATCATAAGCCTGTACTGCATAGATACCGGGCTCGTGCTCGTCCTCATCAGAATGCTCTAATCTAAACCGTCTTCGGAACCGAAGATGAAACTCATGAAATGGAGGCTTGTCTCCAGGGAAGAAGCGTTTGACTCCAACAACTCCTTGTAATACAGAGAAGATAGAAGCATTGAAAGAATGTGCAAGGCTTGTGAAAGAATCAGTAGTGATCCAAACGTAGCCATTTCCCATCATTCCCATCTCTTTTGCTATCTCAAATAGACGCAGTGCCAACTTGAATGGCAAATGAACTACAAAAACTCTGCTTGACCCTCTTCTTAGCCTCTCCAATTCTTTGGTGAATAAATCAGAATCAAATTGTGAGAGACTAACAAATTCACTTACTTCAGCTCCTACGTCTTTGAGGGCATGAACAAGATGAGGAAATATTTCAGTGGTTGAGAAATCTCTATCTTCATATATAACATTGACTAGGTGCCAATCCCATGAACCGATGATACCAGCTATAGCTCTCATTTGATTTAACTGGGAGGGGGAAGCTTGGACCAAGAATTTGAACCTCTCATTTGCCCACTTTGGTATTTCATTAGCTAATGTTAGAACCGGAGTCTGCTTCTCATTTTCGACCTCGGAAACTATGGATGTCGCTTCCCAGGTTTGAGGTCCTATAAGAACCTGAACTCGTTGCATACTGATGAGTTCTTTAGCTGCAAGTTCAACAACTTGGTTAGATTGTGCTGAAGTTATAAACTCACTTTGAAGCATAGGAAGTAGTTGGAGTAAACCAAAGCGAACGAACGGGAATCTTCATACTTCATTAGTTCGATGGATACGAACAAGAAGGCATTTTGTGAGATCCCACATCGGTTGAGGAGGAGAACGAAAGATTCTTTATAAGAGTGTGAAAACCTCTCCCTAGCAGACGCGTTTTAAAAACCTTGAGGGAAAGTCTGGAAGGGAAAGCACAAAGAAGACAATATCTGCTAGCGGTGGGCTTGGGCAAATGGTATCAGAACTAGAAAATGGGCGATATGTCAGTGAGGAGCTAAGCCCTGAAGGGGGGTGGATTGTGAGATCCCACGTGGTTGGGGAAGAGAACTAAACATTCTTTATAAGGCTGTGGAAATCTCTCTCTAGCAGACGTGTTTTAAAAACCTTGAGCGAAAGGCCTATAGAGAACAATATCTATTAGTAGTGGACTTGGGCTGTTACAAATGGTATCAGAGTCAAGCATTGGGTGATGTGCCAATGAGGAGGCTAAGCCCCAAATGGGGGTGGACACGAGGCGGTGTGCCACCAAGGACGCTGGGCCCCGAATGGGGTGGATTGGGAAGTCCCACATCGATTGGAGAAGGGAACGAGTGTCAACGAGGACACTAGGCCTCGAAGAGAGTGGATTGTGAGATCCCACATCAGTGAACAAGTGTCAGCAAGGACACTGGGCCCCGAATGAGGAGTAGATTGTGAGATCCCATATGGTTGGGGAAGAGAACGAAACATTCTTTGTAAGGGCGTAGAAAACTCTCCCTATCATATGCGTTTTAAAAACCTTAAAGGGAAGTCAGGTAGGGAAAACCCAAAGAGGACAATATCTACTAGCGGTGGACGTGAACCGTTACACATTCAATTAAGATTAAAGAAGAAATCTAAACTCTTACCTGCAAGAGCTGCAAGATTGGGAGCACTTTTGTAGTCTCTGATAACAAGACTAAAGCTCTGATTCCTGGAGGAGTTCAAATCTTCAACAGCCATCTGCATAGCCAAAATCTCTTCCTTACCAATCCTAGAACTCTCGTCTACAATGACCCCAATTCTGCCCTTCCCACTATCATCCATCGTCAAGTTCATGTTCCCTTCAGTTTCATGCCCCCAAGAAACTACCAAAGCAACCAAGAAGAAAGAAAACAGAGCAGGGAACTGTCCCATTTTTCATAAAGACATAAGCCCCCTGTTCTTTTTCTTCATATCTTGTAAGCCAACTAATAAGAACAATACATGTTTGGCTCACTAACTTCAGAGGGTTCTTGACTCAAACTAGAATAATGAGTGGAGGAAGCTTGAAAATCCCCTTTAAATTCTAAGAACAATGAAAAGGCATTGATTATTTGATAGCACTTTGGTCAATATAGTGTTCAGACAGCACAATGATACAATCTACGCCATTCATTCAAACAACTCAATGAACAAAAAGAAATGAGAAAATGGATTCAAATCAGAAATTCCATTAGAAACAGAGGTTACCCATTTTGTGATCTCCATCTCAGATTCAATACAGAGCACAAGCATTAGAAGATATAAATGAGGGGAAAAGGAAGGAAACATCAGAAAGAAGATGAACAATATTCAAAGATGAAATAGAGGCAAGAGTGAATAAATAATTAATAAACGATTGACTTTCCTGGTCGCGAGTCATCGCCATGGACGAGAATCTCTGAAGGTTGTTCGTAATATTCAAATGGGTAAGTTGAATCTTTCAAGCTTACTCCATTTTTTTTTTCAAATTTCTTGAAGGGTTTTCGTAGATTTCTCCTTTGGACTTCGCCAGAGTTTGAGGAATTATTTTGGGCATTTAATTCCGTTCTTGTATCGCCAGTTTTTCGTCAATGCTCTTGAGACTTGGTCTTAATTATGAACAAGAAATTTAAAAATATTTTATCTTAAAGAATAATTAAACTTTTTTTTCTCCAAAAATCACATAAAAACTTTTATTAAGAATAACACTTTTTACCCATGTGATGTAAAGCTGTATTCGGAATAAAAATACACTGCAATAGTTCTATCATAAACAAATTAGAATAGCCTACTAGACAAGTTATCTTTAGCTCCACCTTATTCTCGAAAAAAACTAGCAATTTGTTAGCAATGCCACCACTCGGTTACGTATGGGGCACGGGACATGCTCCTGTACATGTTCTCTTTAGGTCTTGGTCTCCTCAAATTCAGCCTAGCTCAATGCTTCATAGCTCTTCCTCAACTTACACGCTCCTGTACATGTTCTCTTTAGGTCTTGGTCTCCTCAAATTCAGCCTAGCTCAATGCTTCATAGCTCTTCCTCAACTTACACTACTGATATTCCTCAACTTACACTACTGACCGTCAATTTACTAAGGTCGAGTTTGTTCAAGCTTAGACAAATGTGGTACTTCTGTCTATTCCCTAGACACCCTAACTTCTTTTCCCACCGATTCGGGTTTAGGAAAGGTTTGTCTAATCCTCCCCTTATTCTTCGGTCAGAGAAATTTCTTGTTGGCTATATTTTAAAATTACGCCTCGTAGTCTAGAATTTAAAAATTCAAAGTCTGATTGAATTATATGTTAAACGAATATCGACACAACAATAATTTTCTATGGAATAGTAATGAATTTGACGTGGTAATGGGGAAAATGGACATAGGTGATCCACAAATTCATAAAATACAAGTTGAACTAAAAAAAATAGTACAATTTGACCCAGTCGTGGTCGAGATATTAAGGTTTAAAATCTTGTTCCTTGTCCACACAGATGAGAAGATTTCATTAGGACCGAATAAATCTCTCATATTACTTATCCAACTAAATAGCTACAAAGGAATATAAGAATTTGAACCTTCTAGGTTCATACTAAAGTGATTCATAAAACTAAAACCCCAAGGGATGTGTGAGCTGTTCATTGGATCAGATCAAAGAATAAATTTTTACATATCAACCTATGAAAAATTGTTAATAATCTACAAGGTTTTCCATATTTCCCACTAAAGCTACCTACTCTTCTTCTAGCCATAATTCTACTTAAAACAAAACTGAACCATATACAGTTTACTGGACCTGAATTTGCAGGTTTGTGGCGTTTGGGAAGATCTTTGGGACGGTTAGCAGCACGTCGTTTGGTTGTCGAGAAAATTCCCTCCTGTGATTTCCCCAGTTCTTGATTACAGCTAACATTAACCTCCAAAGAACGGTCTGTTGAAGAAATGATTTATGAACACTGATAGTGTACAATGTCAATGCTAATGTTGATACTCCTCCACTCAATACAAATAGTAAAAAGAAGCTGTTGGGGCTGAGGCTTGAACTTTTCACTTTGGCTTCCCTATCCTCACATTTCTCCCTAGCAATCATGCTTTCTTCCAGCTCTCTATACTTCCCACTTTCAAATACCTTAAGCAGTGCTTTGTTAACGTCGTGTAACAGCGGAGAGCCTCTCCGAAACGCCTGCAAGACGTCGCGAAGCAAGAACGTAAGTTAATCTAGAGAACAGAGGATTAAATGAGATGCAAGGCAAACGTAGAAGCAATATATCTTACAAATCCAAATCCTCCAACATGGTAGGTTGGTCCAGAAATCATGAATTCATTGCAAAATCTTGCGAGGAATAGTTTTGCATAAGGGACTTCAAGAAATGCAGCTGCTATCTCCTGGTTTCTGAGAGCCTCAGCTAAATCGTTTTGGGCAGTGTAGTTTTTTATAGTTTTGGTAGGAAACTTCAAAACTTCTTCCAAATACCTTTTGACAAAGGTTCCTCTGCCGTTTCCCACATATGCATTCATTTTCTGGAGAGTCTCAATGTCCGATATAGTCGCCTTGAACTTTTGAACAGTGAGCATGCTAGCAAGATTAGCTGTGTATGTCTGAGTTACCACAAGTGCCATGAATAGCCACGCCACCATAGCCATCCGTGATAAGTTACTGTGCAGCCTATTGCCTTTTGTCAAGAAAATCAGCCAAAACAATGTTAGATTATCTGTTTTGTTTTATTTTTTCCAAATGGAGAAGCAAGAATGACAAGAAAACTCATCAGTTGTGTTAGTTACCGTGCAAGGAGAAGAGAGTGGTGAAGGATGAGAAAAACATGGCTCCAGCTTCATCAAGCATTGAACCATCATGTTCAGGATAGTGACCTCGTTCTATGAACCACACGACAAAGCCATTGTAGACGGTTACCACAGCAATTAGAATCCACATGGTCACAGTAAAGGGCTTTGTGAACAACAATGATTTGTTGCTTGTGTCATTTGTGGTAGGAACTATCATCACCAGTCCTGCTTCAGAGTAAGGATGTGTAAACTCGGCATGTTCATAGCGTCGTGATATTATGGCGATATCACCTATAGCTGCATCAAAGTTCTTCATAGACAAGCAGAATAAGGAAAGATTGTTAGTATTATGTGTAACGCAACTATAAAATAGAAAAATCTTCTATTAAGTTATGGCTGCTTTGTTTAGAAACTCTTATAAGCATGCAAAGAAAGGCAAGTTGTTCTTGCAGTTTTTCCTTACCTTTAAGTAGATTTGATTCACCAAATCATCATATGAGCCATCGAAATGATAGAACTGGTACGACGGAGGGGCGTGCAGGATGCCTAATGTTTCTTTAAACAGATCAACTGCAAGTCCATTGAAGGCCTTATGATCTTCTTCCACTTGTACATACTGTTTGAACATGGAACCAGTTGGCACCCCAATTCTCAATGGATTGGCATCTGTTGGTACGACCCATCCCTTTGGAGTTTCAGAAGATCCACCTGGCCAAAACACTTGGCTAAGATCCTTCATCGACGAGCTAGAAGACGAATTTTCCCTCAACTCTTGCGAGAATCCTAATGTATCAGACCAGAAGCCTAGTTCCATATAACTCCTTCCCAAGGTATTGATAATCTGAAAAGTATCAGCTGGGGCCAATTTTCTGTCCTTAAACTGAATCTTTCCACCGAGTCCTTGAAAGTCAGTGAGCTCTATTTTTTCTAACAAGTGATCATTGCCCTTTTCTTGGATTTCACTCATTGCCATAGCTGCTGTCGTTGCAGCATCATAAGCCTGTACTGCAAAGATACCGGGCTCGTTGTTGTCCTCATCAAAATGCTCTAATCTAAACCTTCGACAAAACCGAAGATAAAAGTCATGATATCGAGGATTTCTTTCTGGGAAGTAGCTCTTGACTCCAACAACTCCTTGTAGTACAGAGTTGATAGAAACATTGAAAGAATGTGCAAGGCTTGTGAAAGTATCGGTGGTGATCCATACATAGTCCTTTCCCATCATTCCCATCTCTTTTGCTGTCTCGAATAAACGCAGTGCCAACTTGAATGGCAAATGAACTACAAAAATTCTGCTAGACCCTCTTCTTAGCCTCTCCAATTCTTTGGTGAATAAATCAGAATCAAATTGTGAGAGACCAACAAATTCACTTACTTCAGCTCCTACGTCTTTGAGGGCATGTACAAGATGAGGAAATATTTCAGTGGTTGAGAAATCACTATCTTCATATATAACATTGACTAGGCGCCAATCCCATGAACCGATGATACCAGCTATAGCTCTCATTTGATTTAACTGGGAGGGGGAAGCTTGGACCAAGAATTTGAACCTCTCGTTTGCCCACTTCGGTATTTCGTTAGCTAACGCTAATACCGGAATCTGCTCCTCATTTCCAACCTCAGAAACTACGGATGCCACTTCCCAGGTTTGGGGCCCTATAAGAACCTGAACTCGTTGCATACTGATGAGATCTTTAGCTGCAAATTCAATAGTTCATTTTAGATTGTGTTTAGATGATAAACTCTGTTTAATGATAGAAAGTAGCTGGAAGCTTAAATTGATATGAACAGAAATAAGAACTCTCACCAGCTAGAGCTGCTAGATTGGGATCACTTCTGGAATCTCTAACGACGAGACTGAAATTTCGATTGCTCAAGGAGTTAAAATCCTCTATAGCCATCTGCATAGCTAAAATCTCTTCCTTACCAATCCTAGAACTCATGTCTACAATGGCTCCTATCCTGCCCTGTTTACCATCAACCATTGTTTCATGCCTTCCATAAACCATGGCAGCAAACAACAAGAAAGAAAACAGAAAGTGAAGCTTTCCCATTTCTTATGAGAATGATAGGCACAAGCCAAAGGCTTCGCTCTCTCCCTCCCAATATATATAGTGTAGCAATAAACCCCTACCATCTCTTTAAACTTCTCTTTTTTCACTCTAAGAATCCAATTGTCCACAAAATTCCAAGACTTCAAGCATTGACTCTGTCCACAAGAACATGCAATAAATCCTGACAACCAAGTTTCATTAATTCCAATTCCAACCACCATGGAAGAGTTCAATAATTTCATAAAGTTTGGGACTATCATTACAAATATTCAGACCCTTTTAATTTCTAATTCTTCAAGAACACAAACACAAATCAGAGCCAGCCGTTTCCTATGTGTACAATCCATAAACATGGAACAATGAGAATATATGGAAGCAAATAGATTAAAACCCTAAACCCAACATTTTTTTCCTCGAAACGACTTTAAATTCCTGTTCTTAAACATTTCTTCACTGACTCTGTTTTTCTTCGCCATTAAAGTACTGCGATTAACATGAATCAAACACAGATTACCAATTTGGCAATGCAATCTCAGATCAATACAAAAACGTTCGAAGATGAGTAGAATTCAAAAGCAGAAAACTCCCCTTCCGGGTCATGAGTCATGGAGGAATCAGTCTTCCAAAGTGTGTGGTGATAATTCAAAGAGAATTTGCAAAGCATTTGGCGGCACACGCTCTAGTTTGCTTCCCTCCTAGAAAGTGATGGTAAGCTTTCACGAAATTCCTTACCCTTCTCTTACTTTGAATTGGTCTTCCAAATTTCATTAGACCAATAGAAGACTACGTTTTCATATAATTAAAAAAAAAATCAAAATTAAATTATCTAGTCTATTTTTGTCCATTTTGATCATAAACTCTCGTATAATTTTATTTTTTATTTTTTTATAATATTTGATAAGGATCAAAATGAGAAAATCAAATCATTACAAATAATTTCATAATCAAAATTTTTAAAAAAAATGTGTAACATATTTGAGATAAAATTCATAAGTTAATTATATGTATTAGTTTTGATCTATAATATAATATTTTAATTATAATTATAGATTAACAAATACAGCATTATTCCAATTAATATCATAAAATTTGAAATTTGAAGACATCTAAAAATCAACACAAAAGAGATTGACGTTTTAAAATATTAAGGTACAAATTACTGTTAAGACAGAAAGTTCTTGTCGTGTTTGTCTTTGTCGGAACACCATTTTGTTGTCATACAAATTACAAGACTGGTTCGTAATTGTGACTATGGCAGATTTGTTTCTATTTTGAGTAAGACTTTACGACTTAGTCTTTGTACCAAATTAGGGGTGTATATGAGTTCGAGAAACTGACCCGATCCATCCTGAATTATAAGGGTTGGGTTGGATTTTTTAGGACTCGATCCAATTCAGGTTGGGTATAGATTCAGTGTCGGGTCAACCCAACCCGACCCAATTATAATATAGAATGGTAGAACTAATTATACCAAAATCTTTACTAATCAAAGGGAGAGGGGGAGAACCACCACATCAAAGCCTAGGTTGGATTAGTGGGCCTGAAATTGCAGGCCCATTAATGGTTATAGTAAAGGATTTTTTTTTATAATTTATTTAAAACATAGTTGTTTAAATTATTAAAGGAAAATCTCGAACCCAAAATATAAAAGTTAGGTTGGATTTAAAAGGATTTTCAAATTTTGGTTGAGTTCGGGTTCAAAATTTAAATTATTGGGTCAACCCGACCTAATTCGAAAATCTTAATACAAAAAAAAAGTAATAATAAAATAGGTTCAAACCCACGTAGCCCAAACTCGTGAATCATCGTATGCATCTGGCCTTGCCCCCCCTAATGTGTCTGCACTCTACAGACTACCTCTTTCACTCTCTCTGCTCTGTCTTGTAGTCTCACACAGTGTTCGTCTTCGACCTAAAGGGTAACTGGGTAACTGAAGTGAAGTCTTGACTCTTGTACTTACGGTCTCACACACTCACATCACAATGTTTGTCTTCATTGTTCGTGGTTCAACTTCTCTCAACTCTCTTTGTGTGTAGTCATTCGACTTCTCAGTTCTCATCTCACTCTTGTCTCGTTTATGTGTGTCATTGAATGTCGACGTCGCTCACCACTTTATTTCTCTATTGGACTCTCTTCTTAGTTCCCATTTCTTCGCTCAACCTCATTTTCATGTTTCTCGTCAAACGTCGTCACCGACTGTTTCTCCATTTGGTGCTCTGTTCCACTTCCATTGGACTTTTTCGTTCTATGTTTGTCATCAAACTTCTCCACTCAGCCCTACATTATTTCACAACTCGAACCCAACCCCAAAAACAAAGGGTTAGGTTGGGTTGTGAAAATTTTACAGTTGGGTTGCATTGGGTTACCAATCCAAACAACCAGAACTTTAGTGTTGGTCCAAAAAAATCCTTTAATGAAGCCTAATCATGTACCCCATGATATGAACTAATTTAATTTAAATTGAAAAAAAAATAAAATTCCAACTAAGTCCATATTATTATAATATTTCCAACGACTTTAGTTACACGTTGGCATTGATGGCCATAAATGAGATGGCAACCACCTACAAACAATAATGAACTCAAATAATAATAATAATAATAATAATAATAATAATAATGCCATCGAATATATATATATTTATTTATTTATTTTCAAATATTTATTTATATTAGTCGGAATAAAATAATAAAAAAAATAATTAAAATAAATAATACAAAAATAATTAGAACAAATAAATACATGCATACATAATTTTATCGTAGAATATAAAATAAAATTAACAATATATTCATATTTATTTAATTCAAGTTGAATGAGAATATACAAAAACAACTAAATTCATAAAAATTTCAATAAGTTGGATGAAATTAATCAAATTTATTAAATAATAGTCTTTGCGACTAAATTATTTTAAAAAATAATTTAAAAATTATTTATTAATAACCTAAAAAAAATATTCCTTTTCAATTTTTTTAAATAAGAAAAAGCCAAGGATGTTAGGTTGTAAAAAAATAAGATTTTATTTTTAGATAAATCTTTGACCTTTCAAGCCTTGTGTTTCCATTGCCGACATCCTCCAATAAGACTTGTCCCTATAACTTGCTGCCACGTCAGAGGCTGAGTCATTATCATTTATAAAGACAAAATCCTAATAAAAGCTCTCGTGTCCACTTGTATCTGACGTGTCCACCACCCATAAGCATAAATTAAGGGTCATATAATCCTCAATTTGCAATTTAATTTCCACGTGGACAAAAACTTTTTTTTTTTCATGATAAAGCAATGTGAACCGATTTCAATGTATTTAATATGTTGACTTATTTTATTCATGACGTGGAAATAACCCCTTTTAAGGATCCCTTCCAATTATTTTCCTATTTAAATATTATTTTTTATTAATTAATTAAATTAATTTTCGGTCAATATTAAAATTAACTAAAAGATTTTTATTTATGTTTATTAATTAATACAGAATTTAAAGGAAAAACAAAATCCAAGAAATTAGCGACAAAAAGGAATAGTCAACTATTCCACTTTTTTTTATAACAAATTTCAAACACTCCCTTTCAAATAAATAAATAAATAAATATAAAATTTCAAATTCTTTGAAATAGTCTCCAAAGTAATAAATAAGTAAATAATGATTCTTTATTATCCCTAGAATATTTAACAATCATAAATAAAATATAATTCTTTTTAAAAAAAAAAGTTATAGTTATTCTTACGTCTCATTTAAAGATAAAATATGTAAATATATCGAGTTATCGAGATGGTACAAAAGCTAGTGACGATGTTGTAAAGGGATGCTTGGTCCATGTTTCGTTTTTTTGTTTCTGTTATTATTATTCCATCTATTTTTTCTTTTTTCAATCTTTATTTTTATTTTCTTTTCCTTTTTGTGTTTTTTTTAAATATGATTATTATTTTTTTCAATTAAGAGGATAAATGATAATAAATTAAAATAAATATATGTAATATTGAAACAGTGAGATAAATTAATTATATTCTATTTTTAAAATTCAAAATGTATAATTAATTATTTAAAGATAGTTATTAAAATTGGTTATTCTAAATTACAATAATTGAAATTAATATATATTAATATATATATATTTATTGTCAACATTTATAGGAACTTTAGTGTCACATCATGTCCTTTTCTATATAACGGTTTCTTCTAATGTAATAAAAAGCATATAATATGAGAATGGAGATTTTTTCAAACCCTTTTTATTATTATTATTTTTCATTTAAATATTTTCTAAACTTTAGTTATTTATTTTGTTTTATTTTGCTATATTATTTTGTGAAATTCCACTTTTGCCCTTGTGTCCTTATCATCGTCTTCAATGCACCCCTGCAAAACTATACCGTTTCTTTTTTAACAACGCCAAATATGGAAAAATCTTATCTTATATTATTAAAAAATGAAGCATCTACTGTTATGTCCCACATTGGTTGGGGAGGAGAACAAACCACCATTTATAAGGGCGTGGAAACCTTCTCCTACCAGACGCGTTTTAAAGCCTTAAGGGGAAGTTCGAAGGGGAAAGCTCAAATAGGACAATATCTGCTAGTGGTGGATCTATGGTGTTACAAATGGTATTAGAGCCAGACACTGGTCGATGTGCCAGCCTTCTCGTTGTTCCCCGAAGGGGGTAAACACGAGGCGGTGTGCCAGTAAGAACGTTGGGCCCCAAAGAGGGGTGGATTTGGTGGGGCGGTCCCACATCGATTGGAGGAAGAAAAGAGTACCAACGAGGACCTTGAGTCCCAAAAGGGGAAGATTGTGACCTCCCACATTGGTTGGGGGAGGAGAACAAACAGAGGAAAGTTTTTTAAATCCTTAAGCGGAAATCTGGAAGGGAAAGTAGGGAAAGCACAAAAAAGACAATATCTGTTAGCCTAGCATGTATCTGATTGGAGTTAAAAGTTTTATTCTCTATGACTAAAATTATTAAAATTATTATTTATTGGTTGAATTTTTAGTTTTTATAACAAAAAGAAAAACAGATAATTTTGAGTGTGTATAATTAAAAGTCATTCATCTTCCTTATAGAAGGGATCGGCTTCTGAGCGTTGTAAGAGACGCGGTTGCAACGCTGAGCCCAACAATTTTGAGTCTCAATCTCTCTCTGTCCCAACCAATCCTTCTTTTTAAGCCACACCCACCAAATTCTTCCCCATACCCACTTCATCTCTCTCGCTGGAGTTCCGGATTTTGCCTCAAAATCATGTCCAGAACTCCTCTGCATCTCGTCTTCCTCCTCTGTTTCCTCATCCTTTGTGTCCAATCCCACAGCTCTCGATTCGCTTCCATTTCTTCCTCCTCCGATCTGGTTTCCGATGGCGTTAATGACTTGCAGGAACCCTCTTATCTGCGCCTCAATACGCTTCCTTCAAACTCGGCACCGGAGGAAGCTTGCGAGCAGTCTTATGGGTTTCTCCCCTGTACCACCTCTGTTTTGGGGAATATGTTTTTGATTATCGTTTATGGGTATTTGATGTTCTTGGCTGCTAAATACTTGTCTGCTGGAAGCGAGCTCTTGTTGGAGATTTTGGGTCCTGGAATCGTTGGGGGATTGTTCCTTCCCGCGCTTGGTGCTCTTCCTGATGCTATGCTGATTCTCGGTATTTGTTTCTTCTTACACTTTTTGTTTTGCATTTAGATGGGTTTTGACCTATAATCGAAATGTGCTGCGTAATCAAATGGATTGGCTCATATGTTTTGTCGAGAATACGATCGTTTGATTAGTGAAATTGATGTGTTGTTCTGATTTTACTATCCAGACGAAGACGATATGGATTAGTAAATCGGGTAGGGATTTGATAGCAAAATGTTTGGAGTGCAAAATAAACGATAGATCTATATTTTACTTTGGTTTTCCATTCATGAAGTGTTTGATTGCAGAAATTGAATCGGCTATTTCTTAAACGCAGTGGAAATAGAATTAGAATCTAACATAAATAGTGGGTTCTCTTTTGTTTTCTCTTGGCTACTTTTTCAAAAGAAGTTTCGGTAATTTACCCCAAAAAGATTCATAAATGTTTGAGTGTTCGTTGCTTGAAGTTCTATTTGCTTCTACACTTTTACTTTATTGTATTTGGGTTTGCTTACTTTTGTGGCTATTGATTGATATCAACTTCATCGTACCTCAATTGTTGCTGCTTTGATATAAAACTTGTCGGTTAGACCTCAACATCAAGAACAGGAACGATTCTCGTTCCTTTTTCCTGGATTGACACCTTTTCGAAAGCTTAGCCATCAGTTCCCAAACTGGGCACAATTCATTTCAAAATTTCAGTATTGCCACCTCCCCTTGTTTTCAATATGGATCATCCTCTAATATCTGTTGTCCTTTTGTTTGTTGAAACGTTTATACTTTATTTAGTTTCTCCTGTTTCTTTATCTCTGTTCATGGTTTCTGATAACCCTCTAATTGTCTCCTTTCTATAGTTTCTGGACTTGCAGGAAGTGCTGAAGTTGCACAAAGCCAGGTCTCCGTTGGAATGGGCCTCCTAGCTGGCTCAACTGTTATGCTTCTTACACTGATCTGGGGTACATGTGTGATCGTTGGGAAGTGTGACCTTGAGGGTTCGGTTGCTATTGACTCACAGGATACAAAAGGGTTTAGCTTGACTGGTATGTCATTTTCTCTTGGTTGCCAAGCCCATCGTCAGTAGATATTATCCTCTTTAGGCTTTTTCTTTTGGGTTTCTCCTCGAGGTTTTTAAAACGTGTCTGTTAGGAAGAGATTTCCACACCCTTGTAAAGAATGATCTCCTCGACGTTTTTAAAACGTGTCTGTTAGGAAGAGATTTCCACACCCTTGTAGAGAATGATCTCCTCGACGTTTTTAAAACGTGTCTGTTAGGAAGAGATTTCCACACCCTTGTAAAGAATGATTCATTGTCCTCCACATCGGTTGGACTTTCCCTTTTGGGTTCCTTTCAAGTTTTGTAAAACGTGTCTGTTAGGGAGAGGTTTCCACACCCTTATAAAGAATGTTTCGTTCTCCTCCCCAACCGATGTGGGATCTCACATTCCACCCTCCTTCGAGGCCCAGCGTCCTCGTTGGCACTCGTTCCCTTCTCCAATCGATGTGGGACCCCCCAATCCACCTCCTTCGGGGTCCATCGTCCTTGCTGGCACAACGCCTCATGTCCACCCCCTTTCGGGGCTCAGCCTCCTCGCTAACACATCACCCGGTGTCTGACTCTGATACCATTTGTAACAGCCCAAGCTTACCACTAACCGATATTGTCCTTGGGCTTCCCCTCAAAGTTTTTAAAACACGTCTGCTAGGGAGAGGTTTCACACCTTTATAAAGAATACTTCGTTCTCCTCCCCAACCAACGTGGGATCTCACAGTATAAATACCTTCGCCAAATTCCAAGATGTCTGTTTATGTTCATATATGCCTCTGTTTTTAGAGGGAATCTTATTCCATCACTTGCAGTCTGTTCTTCATATACATATAGTTGATGCATAAATTTACATAGGAATTTCATCTTTGACAGAATCTGGAGTCAGCACTGATATCTGGACGAGCTATGCTGCCAGAATCATGGTTATATCTGTTTTTCCATTTTTAATAGTTCAACTTCCACAAATGCTCAATTCAACATCAGGAAGGCACTTGGCAGTGTTGATTGCTCTTATAATCTCCATTTCAATGTTCATTATCTATTGCCTTTACCAGGTGCTTTTTCTAACTCTTAAAAACCGAAATGCGTAACTCTAACTCGAACAGGCAGCTATTCTGATCTTCCCAAGTCGAAAAGTTATATAGCCGGTTAAGAGTACCTTTTGAAATGATCTCGAGTTTAACCATTTCAAACTTACTCCTTTGTGCAGGTCTTCCAGCCATGGATTCAAAGGAGGAAACTTGCCTTTGTCAAGCACAAACATGTTATATTTGGACTTCTAAGACATTTAAAACAGCAAGCACTTGGAAGACTCCTCACAGAAAATGGGGAGCCAGATAAAGAGATAATAGACAAGTTCGTTGGAACCACAAGTTCAATTCTTCGTGTTTATCATTGCTTTTCTAGTTCATCACATTCTGATACTTGCTCAATAAACACAATGGCAGGCTATTCTCAAGAATCGATGAGAACAAGGATGGACGTCTTTCAGCTTCTGAACTGAGAGCGCTTATAGTCGGTATCCAGTTCGAGGAGCTCGACTTAGATCACGAAGATGCTGTTGAAAAAATACTGAATGATTTCGATACTTCTCGTGATTCCCATGTCGATGCTACCGAGTTTGGCAATGGAATCATTAAGTGGCTTTCTCAAGTACAAGGTTCAAGAACTGGCCGAGCTGATGATGGTCCTCACACAATGAAGTTCCTGCATAACTTTCATCAAGTACGTCGTAACCGGGTTGCCTCAGTTTTCCTTTTAACTTTTGAGGTTGCTTTCTGAAACGCGACGTAATGTATCTACAGGAAACAAAGCGAGAGCACGATTTGTTGGATGTCGGGGAACAAAGCGACGAGGTCGTAGAGGATGTTGAGGGGGGCAAAGGGGTCTTGATCAAAGCTATACTCTTCTTGTTACTTGGAACTGCCATTGCTGCTGCGTTTGCCGACCCGTTGGTCGACGTCGTACATAACTTCTCCAATGCAACTAACATCCCGGCGTTCTTTATTTCGTTTATCGCTCTGCCATTAGCAACCAATTCCAGTGAAGCAGTCTCTGCTATAATCTTCGCAAGCCGGGACAAACGAAAAACTGCCTCTTTAACATTTTCTGAGGTTTGTTCTCTTTTACACACAACATTTCATTTCTTTGCTCATACTTGGAAGACTGGTTGAGCTCTAAGCTTTTGATGGTGCAGCTATATGGAGCAGTGACAATGAACAATGTTCTTTGCCTATCAGTCTTCTTGGCTCTTGTTTATATGAGAGGATTGGTTTGGAACTTTTCGTCGGAAGTGCTGGTCATTCTGGTCGTTACGGTTATAATGGGACTTCTCGGTAGCTTCCGAACCGCGTTCCCGCTGTGGACAGCTCTGGTGGCTCTCCTTCTCTACCCCCTCTCTCTGGTGCTGGTCTATGTTCTTGATTATGTATTTGGTTGGTCATAGATCAGGTGGTGTTTTTGAGTTATATATGCAGGAGGGGGTTTGTTCATTTAAATTTCCGGATGTTTTTGCACATACTCTCCATGCTGAGGCAATGTAATGTAATACAACTACTGTTCTGCTCTCTCTTTTATTTGCTTCTGATTACAGGAAATAAATAATAGAAAGAAGTTCAAATATTTATGCAGTAGTCTCTTTACGAAACTGTATAAGGGTTTACTTTGTTCGAGGGCTCCAGATATGGAGCCGAGTCTCAATTGAGAGGAGACTATTCGAAGGTTTCATAGGCCTTAAGGGAGGCTCTATGGTGTACTTTGTTTGGGCTCCAGAGAAGGAGTCGAGCCTTGATTAAAGGGAGGTTGTTCGATGGCTCCATAGGACTTAGGGGGAGGTTCTATGCAACAAGCATGTGCCAGTTTATTTGATTCTCTTATTCAAAAGCAAGAGGTCTTAAGAAGGTGTTTCATTATTTGCTGTGCGACCAGCTAGGTTATGTGAGACCCCACATCGGTTGGAGGGAGAATGAAATATTTCTTATATGGGTGTGGAACCTCTGTAACAGACACATTTTAAAAATCATATGTAATGGGTTAAAGCGAACAATATCTATTAGTAGTGGACTAGACTGTTACAAATGGTATTACAGTCAAGTACCGAGCGGTGTGCCAGCGAAGACATTGAGCCCCAAGAGAGGTAGATTGTGAGATCCCACATCGGTGGAACGAAACGTTCGTTATAAGGGTGTGGAAATCTCTCTCTAACAGACACGTAAGCTGACGACGATGATACATAATAGACCAAAATGGACAAGAAGAGAATTGTAGCATATGCATCGTGTGCAACACCAAATCCTGTCTGTGGAACATTCTTAAAAAGTATCAAATAAAGATATATAAAATTCACCAATTTTATTATTTATTAGATCTCAAATTAATTTTTTTAAATTTATAAATGTTCTATTATATTTTATTTTTGAAAGATTTATAAATATTTAATAAACTCCTAATATACATATTATTTATAATTTTATAAATATATTATTTTAATTTAAATATTAATTTTAAAAAATCATTCCAGGTTTCGTAGCTGAGTTGGTTAGAGCGCTGGTTTTATGAGTTGAAGGAATAAATTATAGTTTACCATATATATCATATATATATATATATATATATATATATATATATATATTTGTCTTTCTTAGCATAGATATCTTTTCATTTATTACTCTTCTCATATCTTTGTAATTTATTTGATTATAAATAATATAACTTTCACACCATTTAGGTACAGTGGATTATGCAAACATTCACATCGCCGGTTTAAGTCTCGTCAAAACCAATCATTTTATATATCATTTTTATTATATTATTTTCATGTAAATATAGATTTAATTAAAACATTGGTCTCATGAGCTTTTTATTATATTATTTTCATGTAAATATAGATTTAATTAAAATATTGGTCTCATGAGCAGAAAGTTGCGGGTTTTTCGAGGTATAAATATTTAATAATCTCTCAATATGCTTATTATTTTTAAATCTATTATTATATTATTTTGATTTAAGTATTGATTTAATTACAACATCTAAGGTTTCGTAGCTCAGTTGGTTAGAGCGTTGGTCTTATGAGCCAAAGGTTGCGGGTTCGAGCCCCGCCGAAACCAATAATTTAAATTTAAGCAGTAGGAGCATATTATATATAATAATTTATTTAAAACGTTGTTAAAATTTTCTAATTACTTATTATTTATTATCATATTATTTTCATTTAAAAATCCATTTAATCAAAACATTTAAGGTTCTGTAGCTCAGTTGGTTAGAGCGTTGATCTTATGAGCCGAAAGTCGCGGGTTCGAACCCCGCTAGAACCAATAATTAATATCTAAATAACGGTATATTTTATATTAACTTATTAATTAGAGTCTTGGTTTTTATAAGCAAAAGTTGCAGGTTCGAAACCCAATTGGAAGCCCATAAAGGTTTAAATTACTTTGGTTTATAAATTTATTATTATTTTATTTTCATGTAAATATTGCTTTAATTACAACCCTTTTATTATATTATTTTCATTTACAAATTGATTTAATTTGTCCATTAAGGGTTCCGTAGCTCAGTTGGTTAGAGCGTTGGTCTTATGAGCCGAAGGTCGCGGGTTCGAACCCCGCCGGAACCAGTAAAATTATATACCCTTTTTAATATATATATGGATAACCCTACCATATCAGAGCATTTGAAGACCAGAAGAACTTTGAATAAATTCCTTTTCTGGAAATTGGGTATCCATTATTATCATCATGAAACACAAGGGAAAAAAGCTGCAAGAACAAGGACTGGAAAATGTTGTACAATCTTATAAAACGTAAATTCTCCGCCATTAAAATACACCCACCATGGTTTACGATGAACAAAGCTATGAATTAGAGAAACACACCCAGATCCTGCTCCCTGCAAACAACCCAGCAGCACAGCTTTAACTGACTTTATTACTTCACAAGCCTGCAAACAAAGAACTTCCAGATGAACTCGCGATGCTCAGAAGCGGAATTCAGTAAAACAGTGTATTGATGTATTGTGATTTCTTACAGAAATGGAGAGAGGGATTTGAGCAGTTGTGTTTAACAATGGCGGGAGTTGGAGGAAGCAGAGGATGGCTTTTCAGACATGCCATCGTGTTGTTCCTCTTCACCCGGGATCAGCGCCGGAATTAGAAACCTGGAGAATCCGCCGTAGGCGAATCCAAGACCCGGAAATGAAGATGGGTTCATCGACTGTGGAGTTACATGTTGTTGTTGATTGTCGACGAAGGCGATTGATGGGTCTATCCAAGCGCGAATCGAGGGCGTGTAACTGGACTGAAGGGGTCCCCTCTGAGAAACCAATTGGTTTTCTCCAAATAGCGGTTGCAGATATGGCGACGCCGGCGGAAAATTCGAGGTTGTTACCTGCGAGTTGTATAAGAATTCTCCATTCTCACCTCCAGCTCCGGCGTCTCCGCCGTATCCGCCGCTACTATGATCAGCACTCACTGTGTTCCGATGCATTATCCTCTGGAATCGGTTGATTTCCATGGCCGATTGAGGTTGCTGCTCCGACCATTCATCGAAGCCATATAATGATGTTGTTCCAGAGAAAAATGATTGGTCGTTTTGATGATTTTGAGGAATTGGATGCTGAGTTCCTTCCGATTCGAGATTTGAATTTGGGGCTTTAAGAGACTGTAAGGAAAGCCGTAGATCTTGCGATCGGCTACTGGTTCTGGATTGTAAATCCGGCGGGAATGTGTCGAACTCGAAAATCGACGACGGCGTCTCTGCTGCTGCCGTCGTGGTCATCGGTAAAAACGATTTGAAGCTATCAACGATCGAATCCGAATTGAACGATGGCGGAAGAAAACAGGAGTTGTCGCTATTAGGGTTTTCCTCTGTTGAAGTCTTCTCCAAATTCTGCATAGTACATTCCGAAATTCCGCCGTCGCCGAACACGAAATTCGCTCTCCGATTACTATTTCTAGTGATACTCCCCTCCGGCGGGTGATTAGCAACCGGAATCTTGTATTCACTGTTCTTCTCCTCGTGCGTTGCCAATTTTCCGGTGTTCGTATCGACAACGTTTGGATTCCATCCAGGAAGCTCTCGAAGCTTGTCTATGGCGGGTTTCGCCTTCTTGATCAGCCAGTCGACGGCCTTGCTCGGCCGGTCATAGCCAAGGCGGTCCTGCACGTCGTAGAACTCGATAGCGGTGTGAGCCGAAAGTCTAACTCGACGGTCCCTTGTACCTTTCGCCGTGCAAACTTTACTGTGACGGTCTTTTCTTCCAATCGAACGAACAATACGACCTCCTTGAACCTCCACGACATCGCTTACACCGCCCCCGCCACCGCCTCTGCTTCTTACTTCCGGTTTCGGTGATTTCCCAGGCCGTTGATTCCAGAACTCCCCCATTCTTCCTTCATCTTGGAAGCTCCACCCGGCGGGAGATGAATCCAACACCGGAGGAAAGCAGGGACGCTTCTTGGTTTCTCGTGAATCTAAACTCGCATATAAATACTGGAGGTTCCGTTCATCTTCTTCTTTATCTTCCTCCCCTGTTTTACCGAACGTTATAACCCGACTCCGGTACCGCCGATGAAGAAGAAGATGATGACGACGGCGGCGACAATGATGATCTGGATCCAGACTCAGACCCTTGAGATACCCCTCTTCCAGCTTGAATCGACTGCTGATTCCGATTCCGATTCCGATACCGATTCCGATTCCGCTTCACTTTCCGATAATGGCTTCTGCAACTAAAACCACCATTGATTCTAAAACCTCTCCAAAAGGTCTCCGCCATTGAATCTTCCCGCCGCTCACCATGAAGCCCTCAAAATCAAAACCCCAATCAAATCTCATCCGAATCGATCCTAAAACCCCTAACCCATCTCCTCAGACGCTTTACAGATCGACGACGGAGCTGATAAAGAAATCAAAAGCGTCGCAACTTCCGAGAAACAGAGAGGGAATTGGAAAGTTAAAAATTAGTGGAAAAAGAAATGGAGGGATTCAAAAAGTTCATGGGAAATGTGATGATGGTGATGATGGAGATGGGCCTATAATAAGAGGCCCTGTTTGTGCCAGTCGCAGCCTCCGCCAGCCTTTTGCTTTTGCACCGCGCCCCCCCCTCTCTCCTCTTTCTCTCTCTTAATTTTAAATTTTATTTTTCTCCCAATTAAGTATAATTTTATTATATTTTAATTAGTTGAATTATATTTTTAAATTTTAAATAAACTAATTAAAAATTAAAAATATATAAATTTTAAATTTTATTTACAATTTACCATGTACGGATATTAGGTCTCTTGTATTATTTGTATGTGTTTCTCATATACGTCCAGCCAAAACTATAGTTAGTTAAATATATTTTTTATAAAAATGACGAAAAAAAAATTAATTATTTTAATATTTTCTATGATGCAATTACTTTGTTTAAAAAAATGATGATAAAACGTGAATTATTATCATACAAATCAGTAAAAGTGAGTGGAATCGTTATTCGATCCTAACCGTTCAGTTAAATTATTATAGAACTTTTAATTAAAAAATAAAAAATAAATAAATAAATTATTGCGATTAATTGTAATTAATTATAAACTTTTTCTTTTTAAAATCATCTCAAATTTAACTAAAATAAGGTTACTTAAAAAAAGA